ATGAGTTCATGCGACAGCGCTTCGCTTGAGGGCTCCTCTTTGTGAGTCGCAAGTGACAAAAAAACAAAAAAAAAAACAGGCAGGTTTTAAACCACATCGCACTCTTCGCAAAAATATCGCACCGCAGGCAGCTCAGTTACTCACTGTAAAGCATTATTCGAACGGCAACGTTTTCTAACGTCCCTCATACTGCGCCGCGAAGCACTCAGCACATAAATTAACACCTTTTTTTTGTATCACCTTGACACAATGGAAATGTCGATTTTCAGCGTGGCCCGATTGGCAGGCAATTTCAGTGGTAAAAAAAGCTGGACACATTTTATCACTAAGAGAATGTCCAACGGGGTTTGCTACCCTCTCCCTTCTCACAGAAAACATCAGGTGCTTTCCATGATCGGCGCTACATTTGCTTGCCTTTCTTAATAATAAAATATACATTATGCGCCATGATTACAAATTCAAATCGCTTGATGTCGTTCGCCTCGTTTCATTTTTATCGAAGTTTAAAGTTAGTTCGTTTTAAAAACAATCGCTTCTTCTTAATATAACACAATTTATCACTGATTTCATACTATCAAAAGTACACTGTAGCTGTTCTGTATAAACCGATTGTTTTAAAACCAGTTTTCTTTTTGTGGAAAATTCTATTATCTTTTAAACGGGATCACTGACTTATGTTTTCTCGAAACACCTCAGCAGTGCGGGTTCATGGCAAAAAGAATTGCGATTACGTATCTGTTCTAAAAAAAATGTGTCACACTTGATTACTTTAATAAACATGACCGCCGAGAATTAAAAAAAATATCGTAAAAATGTTTTCTCTTTTTCACTTACACTTCTATGGACATATAATCTTGCCAGTAAAGAGCTTACATGGTGTGTTTGTGAAGCTATTAAAATGCATAAATATATTACATTTAGAGCTCGAACATGTGTTAAATGCGAAAGAAAATGTACTGAGTCAAAAATATTACATTTTTAATATTTCTAATTTGTCTGTACGTCCATTTGTAGTTTCGTGTATTTTTTTTTTTTTTTGAGTAACTAAAAAGACTTTTTAAGAAGTTTTTTCTTTAATTTACGGTAGCAGGTTAGGATATTTAGGATCACAGCGAAAACAGCAAGCGAGCAGATTGTTCTGCGTGAGCCAGAAACTAAAACAAAAAAAAAAAAGAAAAGACGGATTAGCAATTTTACGGACGGGAAAACAGAACTTCACTTCTCCTGAAGTTTACATTTGACCCAAAAAGGCACTGGGTTTACATCCTGGGACAGATGAAGCTCTCTTCTCTGGCAGAGCGTCGTCGCATGATCGCAGAAGCGGGGACACCCAACACACCAGTAAAAGTGGCAGGGTCGAAGCCCTCATCATTTCTTAGAGAATAAGTGCCATCGGAAGTGCCTGACAGCATATACCTCTCCGTAATGCACCCACAGCATTTATATTTTATGTATTTTTAACCACTTCAACCAACGACACCGTTCGCTTGTCTCACTGGTTAAAAATAAATAAAAGAAATATCGTTCTGAGTGCATTGCGGTGTTTTATACAAGGCCCTTCCAAGAGTGTATAAATCACCTGGCATCTTGTATCGCTTCACATTCAGCTATTTACGCTGGACTTCGGGAAATCGTGCACATAGTATTTGCTTAATTCAAACGAGCAAACATTGTACAAATGTAAGGTGAACATCCCCTGGAAGTTATTATGCAAACCCTATGCGCAGATTACAACGAGGTTCAACTCGCCGTGTAGTATTAGAATATTGCAAGCAATATTTAGCGCCGTTCCTTTGTTGGGAGGAAATTTACTAACCAGATATTGCGCTCCCCGCTCGGATCGCCAACATGTGGTCTTGCAGAAAATATTTATCACGGGCATAGATACTTCTTTTCTTTTCGTTTAGGGCAACAAACATACATGTTTTCTTGGTATAGAAATTACGGACACTTATTGAAAATTATTATGCAAGTGCATTTGCGCTCAAGCCGTGGCAGAATGACCTTGATCGCGCGTTTAGTTTAATTATATTTTCTTAAAAATTTCACGGCAGCATTGCGAATAATACTGGCATTTTTGACGAAGCTATAGGAACAAACAATTCGGGAATGTCAGAAAACCCCACCCAAAAAAGGGCGCATGTAAAAGTGTGAATGTTTTTGTCGTGTAACGCGCGTTCATATTAATTTTGGCTGATATTCGCATGCACCAAAAAACATCGTCATCAGTCCGTGCGTCAGCGTGTCCCACAAGGAGAAACGTGACGAAGCACGGATAAAATTGAAACGAAAACACGTTGTGACTAGCTACGTCTAGGGTGCGCAATAGGATTCTAATGTCACGACTAACGCATTCTACCTTCAACATGATTCATATTTACACTCCAACCTATCTGTACAAACTTTGAAAATATTCTTTTTTTTTTTTCGTATGACGACTAAATAAAATCAGCATGCGCTAGCATCTAAATAACCACGCCGCTTGGAAAGGCAAAACAATTCTCATCTGGTATATTTCGTTTAGAAGGTGAACACCTTGATGAAATTGCACGTTGCTGAAGGAATTAACACAGAGATGGACATGAAGACACATCTTCATGTGTCTTCGCGTTCGTCCCTGTGCTTATTCTTTCAATAACGTATACTTTGACTCCCGAACAATTAACTCGCTCGTGTCGAGACCATGCGAAAAACAGCAAAAATCACACGCTTCGGGGATATTCCTTCTTAATTGTGAAAAATTGTTATTGCCACCCGCATTCATAGCAAATTTTTGTTTGTTTCCGTTTGTATATTTTGGGGAAACTACGAAGAGTAGAATAATCTCGGGACCATTTTTCTTGGAACGCTTACCATTGACGAGTGTGGTTCATATGATCACTACATTAAGAAAAATATAACAATATTCGAAATCGTATTGATTAACCGGATTGGTGTTTGTTTGCATTCGTGTTATAAATCTCAGTTTTAAGATATGTGTTTTATATACTGTATTTATGAAGGCTCTCTAGAAAACGCTCTTTTTTTTGTAATTTACAGCTTTCTATGAAATACAAGTGTTTTTTTTTTATTCGCGCAAAAACAAGCAGAATTAGTAAATCCAATCCGCGTTTCAAAGTAGCCAATAAAAAAAAAAACCTAGCCTTTCGCAAGATTCTAAACTATTCGAGACAGAGGTCACTATTTCCCTTGATCGTCAAGTAATAATCCATGCAACAAGGTATTCGGTCGTACGCATATCAATTCTGCGCACTCTACCCGAAAATAAACTGAAAGACACGAATGAGAAAGTAAAGATAAATACAGACTGAAACTATTTTCAACACAACGCGCCTTCGAGAACAAATCATATGAGGTTAACAGACCGATATGACGTCCGTTTTAGCTCACGGGAACGCTTCCTGCGAGCGGGATCGTTCATGTATGTGAGGTGATCTCACCGGCCGAGAACCTGCCGCATTAAGAACCCCGGGCATTTGCTCACGCAAATAGCTTTGACTCCTGACACAGAAAAAGAAATCTCAAGTAGGCACGCAGCAAATCATCTCGCACCTCAATCGCTGTGGGAGCATTTTACACATTCGAAAGTTCTTGTATGTATGCTGCATCGTGATGCACAGAAAACACCAATTATTCGGCACTCTCTCTTTGTGAAGTTGAAAAGGAACCCTGTGGGAACGTGGAGTGGCAGCTTGCGTTTCATTATGAAACTTATCTTCATTGGAGCAGTCTCCGCGTGAAACTAATGCCCATGAATAAAAAAGGTAGTGACATATTCTCCCTCCTCCTCTGACGCGCACACCATTTATGTTTATGTTTTGCTTTTTTACACCCGCGCGTCGACTGTAGCGCCGCCTGGATCGGCCCAAGATAGCAGGCGGCATTCTTGGAAGGATGCGGATACTTTTCCGTATAAAAGGGCTTTAAGTGAAACGACGGTTGCTACCTTGAGACAGAGCTTTTTTTTTCACTCTTTCCCCATAGTCATTGAGAGCTTAAATAATGCAGGGCGTGACGAATTCCGAGCATCTTATTATCATTTCTCAGCCAACAAGATTGCTGCATCCGACGAGAAGGATTCCAAAGATCGAATGACGAGACAAAAATCCCATTAAGGCCACACTCCTTGTCAGTGACTATACCAGCTACGAGTACGGTTCAGTTGTAGTTTATTACAAAGGTTTAGGGAAACGTTTTTGCACTGCCAATACGGTTCGATGTGCCCTCCAATACGAATTGAGCGTATGCGAGCCTTCTGGGGTAGCGCATGTGCAGTTTGTACCGGAGGTCCCATTTTACCGTATCGGATGTGCAAACACGGTTCCCTAAAACTCCCTATTGACTATCGAATGAGAAGGGCGAGCGGTACCGCGCTCCGATGGTTACTCCATCTTGGAGACCTCCCAATGTTTTTCTTTTGAAACCGCAGTTTAGACCACGTAAAGCTAAAGCTATCGCTGCAAAATAGAGAAATTCTGACTTTAGTCCCCACCCCTAAATCTTTTGATCAAGTTTTTGAAAAAAAATATCAGAATAGTTTTACAGAACGCAGGTTAGCAGTTGGGGCCTACGCCCTTATCTACGACAAAAACCAGTGTCGTTATATTGTCGAGGCCCAGCCTCACATTGTCAAAACATTTACCCTCTAAATGTTTCATTTTTATTTGTTTCCCCCAAATGTTTTATTTATTTTTTTACAATCGATACACTTTATTGATCGCCTTTTCCGTCGGAAAAATTGATTAAAATAGGACCAGTGTATATTAATTCGACCGCCGCCCGATGCAGTATTCACCGGAGAACTTCTGATAGCTCACAGCTTATTTAGTAAAAATATGAATGATCCTGAAGACTTCACCGACATCGTCGCCAGGTAAAGGGATTTTTGCAGCATCGCATCTTGAAGTGGGAATATTTACACATTTCAATGGGTCCATTATTCGTCACGCCCATTGTTTTTAAGAGGAAGAAAAAACAGACATAGTCTAGGTTTGATGAGGTCAGCTATGCCGGACTAAAAACACTGCGGTGGTCATCCCGCTCGCCACTACTGCGAAGAAAAGCTGCAGCGTGATGCTCAAGCTGACCAGCGAGGTGCCGGAGTTTCCGTTGTCTTTCCGCGAGTGGGCGGCTTGCTTCTGCATCACCTTCCGCTGACTCAGCACCATGTCAATCTCGTTCTTCATTGTCTGCGTCGTTGCGGTCGCGTCGTCCCGCGTCTCCAAGACCACCCCCTCTTCGGATTCCTCCTCTTCGATCTGGTCCCTGTCGTCCCGGTGTTCGAGGATTTCGCCTTCGTCCGGCGAAGCGACGGTGGTCATTGTCGTGCTGTCGACTTTAGCGTCGGGGTTGGAGTTCTCGAACTTGGGCTTCTCGTGGTCTTCGGGGCAGTTGAGCTCCTTGGCGCTGAGACGGGCCACCTTGCTGCTGGTAACCGTCGCACCGTCGGCCGCCGCGAAATCGCACTTGATGTGCCGCAGCTCGCGCCGGAAGTTGTCGTTCCTGGTGGCGTTTGCCAAATTTGCGATCCAGGAGATCCTGCAGTCGCAGCTGAACTTGTTGCCTGGGAAAAAAAGATGGTACGAACAAGGCAATTAGACACGCTGCTAGAAATGATCATTCGTCGATTCAACCGCAACTAAGCAAGTTACTCGTTTCCAGAAATTGTCAGGAAAGTGAATTTTCTGGAGGCCTCACAGCAACATCCGACATTTATTTGAAAGACTTAGCTTAGAAAGTCTCTTCAAGTATATCCGCTTTCACTCTGAGGCTTTCAGGATGAGTCTATTCAAGTTCACCCAACAGGCTTTGGTTACTTTTTTTTATGTTCTATTAAATTACTTGTCGCAGAATCTCGAATGTAACCCTTCCCTTCCGTCTCTCCTGATACATAAGAATTATTAATTCGAATTAAGTCTAGGAAAAAACAAAATTAAAGTGCCTGCAAAGTTCGGCTGAAACTGCTACTTCTACTTGCATTCTGCCTTCTTAGGTGCAACAAAAAATAGTGTACAGCTGGCGTGTCCATCTTTAAGCACAGAAGTGTAGTGCCAAGTTTTTTTTTTAATGCTTGTCATTTCATGATGTTTTAAGGCTCAATATTATAAGGCAAAGACGGCGCAGGATAGGGTGAGAACAAAGCAGGAGTTTTTTCAGGCCTCCAGATGAAGTGACTGAATCTTATTTCGCGTGACTCGGTCCAAAAAAAAAAAAAAAACTAATTCGTACAAAGAAAAAAAAGTCCACAAGTCTGGTCTTGATAATGTCATATTCCAATGACGTGTGGCCGCAGATATTCAAGAGAATGATGAACAGCGGTTGTACTACGTTAGGTTAGGTTACAGTGTTACAAGTGCCGAAACATTCTTGAGGCCCTTGATGTCGACGTGTTACATATACAAAGCAGGAGTAACGCCGCCTTTAGCGCCTGGTTCCATCAGTATAAAGTTCCTCTCCTCAATGTAGGGAACAAATATTAGCATATGGGAACTTTTCACGGCTGCTTATTTTATATTTCCTGAGCTTAACGAGCAGGCGTCTCATAGACGTCATGCGAAGATATGACATAGGAAATCTGTGTCCCAGAAAAATTGACACTCGAGGACGCGCCATCAAAACACTGTGGTAAAAAATGTTACATGCAAATTGGAGACTGTGACGCCACTTTTTTTTTTCATGGTGAATAGGTGGCAACTCTCATAGGAAAGTCAAATTTAATTAGTTAACCGTGTCTCTTTATCCCAACTTGCGCGTACTGCGGCTTAAATCATATTAAATGACGCATTGTTCTTAGTCTGACGTGAATATTTTTTTCACATATGTAAACACAAAGATCCAGAAACAAAGTAAAGGATAGTAGCCACGCATGGAAATGGCGCAGGGCCAACTTACAATAAAAAGGGGTGATTATTAGAGTGAAATTAATGCGCGCAAATTCCATGAACGAACACATAATGAGAGCTTTATTAAAAGGACAGTCCTGGGCCCTGGCTTACCTTTCTGCCTTTCACCCACCACTTCCATATTAGAAGTCGGAAACAATTACTCCTATTTCTTTCGTTTCCTAGCTTATCTGTTTCTTATTCTTTACTTCTTCCGGAGGCCACTGTCGTGCACGGCGGTGGCTAAAAAAAACAACTAGAAAACATTTTTACTTGTCAATTTCTTTTCAGTGGTTACTCTTGAATGGCGTAACGTTTAATGAAGATAATGCCCAACATCGGCAAACTTAAATACAGATTCAAGACTAACACGGAAGTTAGCAAAAAGCTATATTTGCTAGGAGCTTTCGCAAACTGTAGACCTTTTCGCCCTCCGACGCATGGGCGCTGCCATCTTGGAACTACGTGACGCGGCCGCCATAAGCTGGCTTCAAATCGACGATCGTCAAGCCCCTCCGCGCCTTGGTGAAGGTGTTTTATTTGTTTGTTTGTTCGCCTTTCGTTGCGTTTCACCGAAATTTTTTGTCTTGCTTTGTGAAGTGTCTGATCTTAATTTCTCTACCTAACTGCATGCCATCATTATGAGCATAACTTCTACACTTTATATTATAACAGTTTAGGAATATTGGCACCGTCGGTGTTCCGGATACGCGTGAGGAAAGGATTCAGCGTTAGCCCTGGCGCACATTAAGTATGTAGATGTCTCTCAGATACATGAGGGCTGGAACCAATTATTTATGGCAGCGCAAATTTCTTAAGTGATAGTAGCTGAGTGTTAATAGCCGAATGAGAAGCGCAAGGTATCTTTATGATCCCGCATTTATGATCTTAAAGAAGGAGGCAAATATAGTTAACGCAAGTAGTCACTATGTGTGCTTTTTGAAACCATAGTGTGCTGCCTTCATAACAAATTTAAATCAGTTGCTTTTGATTATAAAGAGGAATGGTTTTTCCAATATAAACATCGTTTGGTCTGTTTTTTTATGAATTAAAAAAAAAAGTTCTAAATTGTGCTTTGTCTCATGTCTGCAGTCACCCAATTTTCTTAAGATACCCAACCTTGGTACCTCGCCAGGCGACGCGATTGCCTTTTGCAGCAAGTGTCATTTCAAGGAGTGTGCCCGTGCTGTATCACATCCGATACATGTTTTGTGCCACCTGTCTCAAAAATAGCACTCTAGATGAAACCGCTTGGCTGATCGGCGTTCACATGCACAGCTTCATGACACACTGACATCGACATCACTTGCTGGAAAAGCCCAACTTGCAGGCAGCGCTGCAAGCTTCCAGGCTGTGCATCCCTCATATTTGAAAAATCCGAGACATTTTCTGTTGCGCTGTGCTTGAAAGGACTTCTTGCCGCCGTTCAAGTCTACAGGAAATGTGTATGCACTTTGTATACAGTCAAAATATAGACGTCATTTTCAGGCTAAACGGTCGTTGGTGGATGATTTGATCTTTTGTTATTCGTGTACTTGTTATTGTTTCCAGCGACTTCACCCTCTCCGTAGTTTTTCATATAAATTTCAACAGCGCTTGAATAAAAGAGCTGCTTTCGCCACGTTCAAAACCCAAAAGACACGAATGCATCGTGTATCAAATTAAAATGATTGAAGTATTTAGTCGTTTTTGTACAGGGAAGCATGTAGATGACTCGTTGGTCGTATTTTTTCTTGTCGGCGTCCTGATGGAGGAAAAAACCTTCAGCGATATAAGCGAAAATTGCATATATCACGTATACAACATACAGCGCAGCATTATAGTTTCAATGAAGAAGCACAAAAGAGGCATCCAAACCACACATTTGATAATAAGGCGCTCCTGATAAGAATGCGAAGCACGTAGAGCTCACCGCATACGTTTCCCGATAAAGATTACCGTTGCGCAAGCTGCCGTGGCGACTGCAGCTTGTTACGTGATGTGCAAGGTCACTAGCCTTTCATATACAAAATAAGAACCCTCCGAGTAACTGATGTCATTGTTGTTGCAGCACCGCTATGGGTAGGCCATGGCAATTATATCAGCAACTCAAAAATAATTTAAAAAAAATACAAGGCACGCGTCATCTCTGTTTTTAACCGATTTTTTTTTTTTGTGAATTCCTTTCGTCTGGTAACGTTCCACATGACAGGAAGATTAGCCGTATTATTCCAATACATAATTCCGGAAAGCAAAGTTCACCTTTAAACTACCGTCCTATATCACTGACCAACATTTTTTTCAAAAATATTGTAATATATTTTATGTTCCAATGTTATTAGATATATCGTATAGAATAGCTCCCTATCCGTAAACACACACGCATAGTTGGGACTCCCGAAGAGCAACAGAAGTACAAAAAGCGGGACAGAAAAAATATGAAAAAAAGGCAAAACGCGTCCAGCGGTGGCGTACTGCGACCAGCGGCGGCATTTGGTATAATGGTCGATCGTTGCAGGTGACACCACAGCTTCGCTGACCAACCACCTTCACGGCGTGGACTGGAGCCCCATTTTTTTTTTCTAATTTAAATTAACTTTTTTCCGCGTTTCAAGGAACGTGATCTACAACCAACAACAAACAGACATGCACACATATCGGTGCCTATAAAGCAGTTAAATGAACGGAGTCTACGAGTAAAATATAACGACGTGATTGTCCCTCTTCCGATACCAAGGAGGGATTCACCGCCACCCAAATACTACTTTATCTCCAGCATCGTGACTAGCACTCAGTTTCCGGCTATGATTAAGAACACTGGAAAGTTTTGCGGCAGAGAACTACGGATATATATTTATCTTTTCTTTTCTGTGTTTTTTATGTTATGCATTAGATAATGCAGTGGAGCAAAGAAGACTTTATTAGGATTGTGAAATATCTGCATTCACTCATTTCGAGTTGCGTTTTTTTATGGCTGTCAAGCTGGGAACAAGCGAAGGTCTGACGAAGGCCTAAACGTCGTCTCGTCCAGTGTAATAAAACTGTGCAACCCTTCAGGATATGTCTTTTCATTTATGAACACGGGAGATTTCATCTCAAATCGAGTAGAGAAAATAGGTATATATATTGTAACAGCGCAACTTCATCACCATCAACATCCACACTATCATTACCATCTACAATAGCGCACCGCCTGCACGGGCGGTGTGTGTCTCATGCTGGAGCTCGCGGGGCAGAATTGCTCCAGGGCTCGGCCAGTAAAGCCGGTCTTTTTTATCTCCACTTTGTCTTCCTTACACATGGTGGAGGTCGGCAACGGTCTTCCCGCCCCTCTCCTCATTTGAAATCCTGGAACTTCATCACCAACCTAAAGGTCGGCCAGGAGGCCTCCATCTTCCTCTACGGGGAGGATATTGTAACAGCGCAACTTCATCACCATCAACATCCACACTATCATTACCATCTACAACAGCGCACCGCCTGCACGGGCGGTGTGTGTCTCATGCTGGAGCTCGCGGGGCAGAATTGCTCCAGGGCTCGGCCAGTAAAGCCGGTCTTTTTTATCTCCACTTTGTCTTCCTTACACATGGTGGAGGTCGGCAACGGTCTTCCCGCCCCTCTCCTCATTTGAAATCTGGAACTTCATCACCAACCTAAAGGTCGGCCAGGAGGCCTCCATCTTCCTCTACGGGGAGGATATTGT